AGTAGTCCACTGAAGGAAGAGGCATTGAGGTTTTATCTTTAAATTGAAGAGTAATATACATTAAGTGCATAAAATATGCTAGGTGTACAACTCCATGATTTTTTAGAAAAAGATTTTATTATTTATTAATTTTTGTAGAGAGAGGGGAAGGGAGGGAGAAAGAGAGGGAGAGAAACATCGATGTGTGGTTGTCTCTCAAGTGCCCCCTACTGGGGACCTGGCCCGGAACCCAGGCATGTGCCCTGACTGGGAATTGAACTGGCGACCCTTTGGTTCGCAGGCCGGTGCTCAGTCCACTGAGCCACACCAGCCATGGCAATTTTTTAACTGTAAGTATACAGTGTCTCCAATGCTTCTTTCAAAATGTAGACATTTCCAACCTTGAAATTCCCTGGTGCCTCACGAGAAAGTCTTGAACTAAGGCATGAAAATTCATTGCTAGTTCTAGATGGAAACCAGAAAATAAGGTGGAGCTAAAGATGACTCCAGACTTGGAAGACTGGGTAGACTGGATGGCGAGTCTGTCACCAGGTAGGTAATCCAGGAGGAGAGGAGGATCAGGTTTTAATTGAGGGAGGAGTTGAGATGGTATGATAAGTTTATCTTCAAATTTGTTGAATTTGGGTTGTCTAAGTGGAGCTACATAGGAGGCAGGTGGAAATAAAAATTTGGAGTTCTGGGGGAAAAATTGGAGATTTAAATGTAGATTTGTACTTAGCAGCATGTCAAGTCCATTTGAGATCGAACAAGGAGATAAGAATTCTCTAGAGTCTGTAGACTGACATGACCTGAGGTTATGAGAGGTGTATGTTGCTTTTATTAACTCAGGTTTAGTCCAAATAGTGAATAAAAATCAGCCATAAAATTTAGTTTAAACATTTTAAAAATAAAACTATGAACAAAAATTCAGTAATACATACTGTTTGTTAAAAATGAAAAATTAATTGGTGCAGAGGGTCGTAAGTAGGAAGTATGCTTCCTTCCCCATCCCACTCCCCCACTCCAGTTTCTTGTGTCTTCTTCTAGATGATTTTTGTGCATGTATATTTAGTGTATGGTTTCAGCTTTCTGTTAATACCTCGCCCCGCCCCATTATTGTTTTGGTTGGCAGTGCCTTTTCAGCTCCTTTTAAGTATGGTTGATAGTCTACAGGCATGTGAACAAAATGGCCTTTCAGTTTGATTTTTTTTCTTTTTGCCTTGCCCTTGTCTTCCCCTGTGTTTTATCATGATGAACTTAAAATCTTGACTGAAAAAATTTCTTCCTTTGCTTTTTCCTTTCTTTTGCATTTTCTTGAAAGATAATATTAATGTTTAAGCAAGTGCATCTTGGTATTCACTGGAGCTCTTAATTCTACCATTGATTAATAATGCTACTAACAGTGTCACATTTTTTTCTGCTTAATGCGAATAGACTTTTTTTAATCTGGAGGGAATGATATGCTTATATTTTTCTTGATTGCTTTGTTGACAGTGTAATTCTCAAGTTAGAATGAATGAAAGGCTCCTTAAGAGCACTCTTTCATGGTGAAATACACTATGAGTCGGTACCTGATGTTTTGTTGAGAGTGAATTTGATCTCCAGTCCAGTTGAGAATGAAAAGGTGTCAGATCTGGGTTCCAGAAATCTCCTAATACTAGTTTTATAATCACTGCAACATACTTAACCCCTTCTATGGTGGTACTTAATTGTTGAAAGAGCAAAGAACATAATGTGTATTTTCATTCATTTAACAAATAATCCTATAAGGTGCTAATTCCTGTAATATTACTACTAATAAAAAGAAACATAATTGAGTACTTACTATTTGTTACCACTTAATAAATGCCATCCTGAGTGCTGGATGCGCAGTAATGGACACAATAAGCCTGGTGCCCTCCCTTACGGAACATTGTGTAAGTACTTAACGCAAGAGATAACACTCAACATCAGTTCTTGAAGATCAAGTAATTTTGTTCTCTAAGTTATAAGACTTTTTCACCTATCAGAGGTTTGCATATCAGTTGGCCTGTCCATTCTGATCTTGCATGATCAGAGTGACCTGTATTTTTCACCAGAGCTCCAGCAGGCACCAGAGCACCACTAAATGAACCCCATTCTGTGGGGTCAGCCCCCCACACACAGCAGCTTGTCCTGGCCGGTCCTCACCACCAGTCAGCCTGAAGGCGCGTCCCAGTCACGGATGTGCCAGCGACAGTCAGCGCTCAGCTACAGCAGGAAGGCACATCCAGCCTGCTCAAGGGACACCCCTGGAACACCCATCCCGAGTGACCAGGGGGACTTTGCCACAGGGCCTCGCAGGACACCTGCTACATAAGGCCACCCTGCCAAGACTGGGAGATGTAGCAGATCTACCAAATATGTAGAAACAAACATAGGGAGGCAGCCAAAGTGAGCAGACAGAGAAACATGCCCCAAATGAAAGAATAGGAGAAATCTCCAGAGAAAGAAATAATGAAATGGAAGCAAGTAGTCTACCAGATACAGAGTTCAAAACACTGGCTATAAGGATGCTTGCTGAACTTAGGGGAAGAGTAGATGAACTCAGCGAGAACTTAACACAAAGAGAGAAACCACATGCACACCTACAGTCAGAAGTGCCGAACATGGTAACCGAAACGAAGACTACGTTAGATGGAATCCACAGCAAGCAGAGCCAGTGAAGCGGAAGAATGACCTGTGTTTTGACTGAGGCCATATTACCAGAGTTCCTTCATAGTTGGATCTCAATTCCTTAAAATGCACTTAATTTTAAATGTGACTATGATGGGATCACATAGTATTTAAAACCAAACTAATGGTTTAACTTCCTCATTCCTAGACAGTCCAACCAACTGTGTGCATTTACTTACTTGGCCCTGCTGGTTTGGGTGTGTCTCAAATCCAGGAGGGTATCTTTTAAAGAGATCCACCCTCAGCATTCCTGACATATAAAGCTGCCATACATTTGTTAGATTTAGGAGCTCTGAAAATTGCCTCACTTTTTTTACTTTTAGGTTCAATGGAGAGAAAATAGTTTAAGCAATTTCAGAGTTCAGGAAAATTGGGTCTGGCATGGCAAAGTATTTTTAGATTGGCTTTTTTAAAGAGATGATCCAAATGTATTTTTTTCCCCTGTGTTTTGAGTGCTTTTGATTTGGCTCAGTTTAATAGCTTATGTGTTATATTGCTAATTTTTAAATAATTTTCTCTTTTCAGATATTGGCTCATTTCTAGCTATTCTAAACGTATTAAAACCTTAGGTATTTATAAAACTATTAAGTATTGCCACAAACATACATGCCTTTGTATTGTATGGGGAAGAAATTGATGAAGACTTAAACTAGTTTTACAGATAGTTTTCATTAAGTTCTTTAGGCTACCAAATTGAATTAGTGCCAGCGGATTTTATTTATCATGCTTATCCAAATGTCTTTCCTTTGTCAAATACAACCCCCTCCCCCTAACTGTCCTACCTTACAGCATTCAAGTAGCTTTCCCTACCCGATACCAGGATACAATATTCTAAAACATATTTAGCTCTGGGGTATGTACACATATTAGTTTTTATAGTTTTATAAATTTTTATTAATTTGTTCTTACTAGTTTATATAATATCTGATCAGGTTGACTGAGAAGGCAAGAATCTTTTATTGTTTTGGGACTTTTCTTAACGCTGGTACAGGACTCAACTGAAAAATATGCTCCTGGTAAATTTGATTGACCATCCTCACTGCTCTTTCTTGTTTCAAATAAGATTAAAGATAGCACACAAAATGCTCTAGTGGGGTTTTTTTTTTTTCCCTATACAATCAGGTTTCCATTAAAAATGACCAAAAAGTAAAAAACTTTAAGTTATGGGATCAAAAGTACAGTGGCTTGGTATCTGTATATTAAAATTTGAGTACCCCAAAGGATGAATGAACCAGTGATAATCTTAAAGTATTTGAATAAATACTTAGATGAAAGGGGCAGAATGATTTCGTGATAGTTACTGATCATTGTAACAGTTTTTCCCTTGTGTTGGATTTCACTCTACTTTTGTATAATGCTGGACCACTCACAAAAGTAAGCATTTTACTTTTTGTGCATAATTTATTTGTGTTCCATTGAAAATAAAGGCTGGTATGAATCGCGTGTTTTCACAGGGGCCTAATGCTGATATTTGGAATACTATGGCTCAGTGGCTCTAAGAATACAGTAAAGCATTTATAAAGATTTAATTTTACTCTAAAACTGAATTTACTTTTTAAAAATTTTATGTATTTATTTTTAGAGAGAAAGAAAGGAAGGAAGAAAGAGAGGGAGAGAAACATCAAAGAGAGGGAGAGAAACATCCGTGTGCGTGTGCGAGAGAGACATCAGTTGGTTGCCTCTCGCACAGCCCTAACTGGGGACCTGGCCTGCAACCCAGGCATGTGCCCTGACTGGGTACTGAATCCACAACTTTTCAGTTTGCAGGCTAGCACTCAATCCACTGAGCCATCCAGACAGGACCAAATGTACTTTTGATCACCTCATTTATCACCTATATTATAAGCTAATATACTTCTTTTCAGGATAGACTTTCTTGATTTATATTTTTGTTTTTTTCAATTACAGTTTACATTCAATATTATTTTGTATTAGTTTCAGGTGTACAGCATAGTGGTTAGACAATCATAGACTTTACAGGGTTCCCCCAATAGTTCTGGTTTTCTTTATTAGAACAAAGGAAATTATGTATTCTCCAACCATAGCATTTTAGGATCTATCTCATGAAATCAAATAGCGATAGAGGTCAGTAAGGCATTGTTCTCAGGCAGTCCCTCTCCCTGTTTTTCTTTGTTTGCTGTTCATCTGAATTAACTTACTTCTTTTGAAAAAAAGTTATGCCCTGCTTAGCATCTTAGTGGGTTTATTTTTTTTAACTAAGAGAATTCTGAAGGTGTAATTATACTAATCTGTAATGACTACTTAGATTTTTAAGTAGAAATTTCTTTCTTCATGTGATTGAAATAAGCATTTTAAATCTCCCTTTCAGATCCACCACGTTACACAAAATGGAGGGCTGTATAAAAGACCATTTAATGAAGCTTTTGAAGAAACACCAATGCTGGTTGCTGTGCTTACTTATGTGGGGTATGGGGTGCTCACCCTCTTTGGATATCTTCGCGATTTCCTGAGGCACTGGAGAATTGAAAAGTGTCATCATGCAACAGAAAGAGAAGAACAAAAGGTAATTGTTAGAGGATTTTTAATTCTGTAAATGGAAGCCTTTTAAAGAAATCTTGGTGTTTTCACTCATTTTTTTCCTTAGTATTTTGGTACACATTAAAATAAAAATATTCCTGGTGCAGTTAAAAGAAACACTCCACAAGGAAAGATGAAAACAAGGTTAAAGGCATGGAGAAAAAAATAAAGCAATTAACATGTTTTAATTGAATCATCACAAGAGCCCATTCCTATTTTATGGGCAAGGAAGCTAACATTCACAAGTGAAGTAATTTTTCCTAAGGTGCTTTGTCTCAGAGCTGGTGTGCCCGCATAGGTTGATGAAGTGCCAAAGCCATGTTCTTCCTGTTCACAATACCATATTGTATCCCGAATTGTGTCCACAGTCATTGGAAAAGATTGCGTTCTTTAGAATGCATGATGTGTTTTCTCATAGACTTGCTATACATAAATGTCTGGGTCACAGATTAGTTCCTCTCACCAAACAAACGAGCCCTAAAGCAGAATGTGGCTGAACTACTGTGTTTATAGTAAACAACAGTCTCCTGTTAGTAATGGTAAACAGAAGTGACTGTCATCTCTGGGGATGAGGACCTAATTCACTTCCCTTTTCTCTGTATACCCCTTTGTGCCTCTGGAGTTTTGTACAATATACATGTATTTCCTGGTCTCAAAAATAAATTTAATTAGGGTGAAAATGCCTGATTTTATGAAAAAGAAACTTGTTCTTGGCATGTGAAATAAGGGCTCCAGCCCAGGGAATGTACTCGAGTACAGAAGGGAATCAGAGGTTAGCTGCTTTCTGTCTGTCATACCTCTCACTTTCCTCGGGTGTTAGGGGAGAGGGCCAGGTGTAGTGGCAGCAGGGCCACCACTGAGAGAGGAGCCAGTAAACACCGAGAATGGATTGTGGTCACGTGGGGGCATCCAGAAACAGGGGAGGAAAGGGACCTCTCCAGCAGCTAGGAAGCCAAAACCAATCAGTATGCTGATCGAAGATTTTGGCCCTGGGAAAACTCAGGATCCGGGCACTATTCTCTCTGAGCTCAGCCATTCTGCACTCTTCCCAGCCCTAGCACCACAAGCTGGCTATCTTACTCATTGCCCTGAAATGCCTCCACAAGTTAATTTCATGAAGAAGGTATTTTTTTTGAGTACCGGATGCAAGCAAGGCCCTGCATTCGGAACTCAATCCAGTTGACTGAACTAATTTACATCATTGACAACCAGAACAAATTAAAAGCTTCTTCGACTCTCCTTTTTTTCTACTCATGTGCACATCCCAAAGACTTTCTAGGTAATGTGCATCCACAGCACGTTGACCTTTTTTTTTACACATCCCTCAGGCATAGCTTACTATAACTTAGAGCTTACTCTGCACTTACTGCGTTGTGTGATATTGCAATTATGTGTTTACAGGCAATATTTTGCTACTAGGCTGGATTGGTGGCAGTAATGGCTGAAGTTTTAGTCACATATTCTAACTAGAAAATCTCTATCTACAGGGACCTCTCATAGTGTCCACACTCTGTAGAGACCGAGTAAATCACATGCAGGAGTGGGGGTGAGGGCTGTGCTGACCCAGGCGTAGAGAGCAGTCCTGGAGAGAAGGTGGTGTAGGCAAAGGCAGAGGAGTGTTTGGGAGAACCTGGAAGTGGGTGTATGAGAACTTGTGTTTTGAATGAGACGCTATGAAGGTTGGTAGGCATTGAGGAGTCCTGGGCAGTTTTTGAGCAGGAGGATGACCACAGTTTGCGCAGCTGGTGCTCTGTCAGTGGAAGGAAGGGGGGAGGGAGGTGATTCATCTGAACTCCTTTGTAAACGGGTACAGTATCTTAGGAACTTGTTTCATGTTTCACGGTAAATTGACTGTTTAAGTATGTGTATTTTAACTGTGTGAAAAAATTGGAACACAGATTTTTTTCTGAAGTAGTTTCTATTTTATTGAAGAAACGTTTTCACACTGTGAACTTACGGGCCTTTGCAAAGCTCCATACAGGTAAATAGTGCTTGACTTGCGTGCTAATTTAGAATAAAAAAGTAAACTGAGTAGTATAGGGTTAATCAGGAAATAATTCTTGGAGGAAATGGAAAGCAATATTACTTCTAGAGGGAAAGAAAGGATTATTTCAGCCTCATGGGAGACGCTGTTTGTTTTCTGCTGCTGAGTTAGATGTAGTCCAGGGGGATAGGCAAATTTAAAGTGTTACGCTGGAAGGAGGTGAAAGTGCTTGTTTGGCATCATAAAACGCAAATATAACGCTGCTGCTTCCTCATTTCACTTAGTGAATGGTGTTCCTAACCACATCCTTACTTTCTTCCTCATTCCATCACAAAGGAGAGCCCATTTTAACTGTTTACGCTAATTCTTATGAAACCAGAGAGTAAAATTTGTGCTGCTTGTCACTCACTACCCAGCTAATGAAGAGAGACAAGGTGCTTTATTCAGATGCTGGCGAGCTGAAAAGACTGAGAAGATAGTAGGTTATGTACCTTAAAATCCACTGAACCTCTTAATTGGGGAAGAGTTGCAGCCCCTGGCGATTTTCCTAGTACTTCTTTATCTGCCTCAGGGATGTTCGGAAGTTCCCTCCCTGGAACACAGTGGCTCAGATACCATCTCCATTGCTTGCAGATCCTATCACTGTAATGGAGGCTAACGTCTTTAACTCTTGAGTTCTCTTACCACTAAGTATGTTGCTTTGGGTAGAACCAAATTGCTCAGTCCTTATTAATATAGTTAGCATGAGTTTGTTCTGTTTTATATTTATTGCACAAAATTCTTTGAATCCTTTGCTGCTTTATCCTCTATTAATAGTGCTATTTTGGATGAGAGTGTTTTTTTTTTTTTTTACCAGTCTGTGGTTTATTTCTTTTTTATGTGAGATGAAGCTAGTAGTCCAGAAACATGTATGTGATAGATAAAGCAAAAGCTTGCATTAATGAAAATGTTCTAATAGATAGGAAATACCTAGAAATCTAAGGAGTAAATTATGGTAAGAAGTTAGCACACACTTACTTAACTTTAAACTGACATTTTGCCTCTGCAGTTTGTTCATGAACAAATATTTAAAAAATGGAAGGGATACATTAGTGGGAAGGGACATTATATGCTCATTTCCTGTTTAATTTCAAGATACAAAAGAAGGAATTGATTGAAATATATTCATAGGATTCCTGGAAGGATTTCATTTTTGACCTCCTTCAAAAACTAGCTAACTGTGGATATTTTGACAGTTGTCATTTTAACAATATCTTTGGAAACTATTAATGTAGTGTAGTTGCCTGACGTATTATGCTGGGGATTATCAAAGTTGGTTTGTCCTTTTAGTTCAATGGCTTTAAAAAGAGCACCACTTTCCATTGTTTTGTGGTATGTGTGGAGCCCAAGGCAGCAATCCTCTATTTTTTAAAATAATTTTATTAAGAGGTAATATGCATACTTTAAATGTGCAATTCAGTGGTTTTTACAGAGGTATGCAGCCGCCACCATGATCTGATTTTTATAAATTTTTATCATCTGAAAAAGAAATCCGGTACTCTTTATCAGTCGCGCCTTCCTTTCCCTCCCCTCCACTAACCTACATTCTGTCTCTAGACGTTTCACATAAATGGGATCCTGCAATGTGTGATCTTCTTTTTAATTAATTTTTTTTTAGAGAGAGTAGAAGGGAGAAAGAAAGGGAGGTAGAGAAACATCAATGTTTCATCATGAGACATCAATGAAAGGGTAGAGAAACATCGATGGGTTGCTTCTCAGCTGGCAACCCAAGCATGTGCCCTGACTGGGAATCAAACTGGTGACCCTTTGGTTCACACGCTGGTGCTCAGTCCCCTGAGTCACACCAGCCAGAGCACAATGTGTGATCTTCTGTGTCTTGTTTTTCACTTGGCATAATGTATTTTATTTTTGTTCTGGCTTTAAAAAAAAAAAATCATCACCTAAGAATATGTTTATTGATTTTAGAGAGGGAAGGAGTCGGGGCGGGGGCGGGGGGAGACAAGAAGGAGCCTCAGTGTGAGAGAAAAACATTGAATAGTTGCCCTCCGTACGTACCCTGACCAGGGATCAAACCTGCAAGCTAGGTATGTGCCCCAACCAGGAATCAAACCCACAACCCTTTGGTGCACAGGATGACCTTCCAACCAACTGAGCCACCTGGACAAGGCTGACATAATGTTTTTGAGATTAATCCATGACGTAGTTTATTTCAGCAATTCATTCCTTTTTATTGATGAATCATACTCCATTGTATGGAACAACCATCTATTTTTCTTTAGGGATTCCTCACTGGTTATAGAAGCTATATCCAAAATAAACCTTTTTTTTCTTTCTGAACTCTTCACCAGAAGATACATTATATTGATGAGAGAGAGAGAGAGAGAGAGGAAGGGAAAGAGAAAAAACATTGATGGGAGAGAGAAACATCAGTTGGTTGCCTCCCATATGCACCCCGAATGGAGATCAAATCTACAACTCCCTGGTGTACAGGTTCCAACGGCATGAGCTCCCTGGCCAGGACCAAAATAAACCCTTTAAAAGAATTCTGTAGTACCTTAACCACCCTATCTTTTTGCGCTAGTGAAATTACTAGCTTTGCAAGTTTCCCTGTCACCTGTAGGGCTCTTCTGTTTGGAGCAACAGTGTAGCTTTTTTTAGCTAGGCGCTTTTGTCTTTTGCATTTTAAACTTCACTTCTTTATTCAGTTTTTCTTTGCATTCAGGAGTTTAGAACTGTTTTTACTATTAACTGAGAATGTAAAAGTTTAAAGAACTGGTTTAAATGGAGTACTCTTGGGTGTTAAACTGGTACTGATTTTTTAGATGCCTAGCAAAACGAAAAAGTAAAGTTAAAAATGGTCATTGAATTCATGGATCCCTGAGACTATCCATAAGCCCTCAACAGTTCTTAGATGCCAGTTCAAGAACCCATATTGAAGGTATTAAGCTATATTTTGGGTTTATTTATATTTCTCCCTAAAGCATTTTGAAAAGGCCGTGACA